TGATTTTAATGTATGACAGATAGTTCTTTTATAATAATAAAATTATATTCATTTTTGAATAAAATTTTGAAAATTTTGAACGAAAAATCACGTGATTTCTTGGTATTTCGGATTTTTCATATATTTTTATATAAATCCGGTTTGGCGAGATTTTTTCGATATATCGGATGTCTTGATATATCGGATATTTTTACTGGAACCAACTGATCCGATTTATCGAGATTGCCTGTGTATGTTACTAATCTCTTGTTAATTTGTTCAACTACTTCTTTTCGAAACATCCATTCATATTTGATGGTTGGGGTCTCAAATAATTTATTATCACCTCTCCTTCTTTTGAAAGTGTTAAAAATGATTTTAAGATTCTGGGCTTCAATTTTTCTAATTATATTTTCTACTATAGTAGTTTTTCCTACGCCATCTACTCCATCAATTATTATTAAAATGGGTTGGGTTTTTCTATTATTTCGTTTTAATAAAATTTCTTTGGTCCTTTCTCCTAACTTGAGTAACATCGCTTCATTATCTGTAAAATATTTGAACTCAAAATTTGGGTTTTTAGTATACGAAATAAAATGCTATTCATCTTTTATTTTTACATATTTTTGTTTCATTTTGAAAATTTGAGTTTGGGTTTATAAAAATTGGGCTTTATTTATAAAAATTTCAATTAATATCTTAAGAGTTCCATGTTTTCCATAGAAGGATCTATATCTATGTCTGAACTAATTGTCATATTAAGATCTATTATCTGATTAAATAACACGTTTCCAAAATTTATTTCTTGCTCTAATTCCTCTATCCTCTCTTTCAAATCATTATTTTTGTTGACATATTTTGTTAACAAAATATTACCTTTCTTTTTTAATTCATTTACCCATTTATTCCTTCTGTCATATTTATTTTTGAAATATTTCATCCACTCTTGAGCGTTCATCACCATATTTGCATTTTCATTGCACATTCTCGCTGTTTCGTTAAGTTGATATTGGGTTTCCTCTAATTGATTCCTTAATCCTTCATTCATTTGGTCCTTTATTGCAATTTCATTTTCTAGTTTAACAATATGGTTTTGAAGTTCAATTATTCTGTTATCGGTGGGATTTACTTCTTGAATTATATACATTATAGGAATGGGGTTTTCTAATAATTCTTCTTCTGGCCATATGAATTCTCCATTCAATTCCCATGGTTGTCTGATCTCTTCGGTCCATTCAATAGTATCATTAATGGTTCTAATAGGTATCACTTGAGTTAATTCTTTATTCTCTATATGTTCAGATATCATATTTGTTATCTCTGGTGGTACTATAACATCTAAAGCTTCTTCAATCCTTTCTTTTGGATATTCAGAAAATATCCTTTCTTTGAATTCTTTCTTAAGGTATTTTTGAATTTTTCCTGACATTTTATTGATTTTATCCTGTTCTTCGCTCATATCATCTTCATCTTCTGGATCATATCCAAGTTTATCTATCCAAATTTGTAATTTCTCTTAAATTAATTGGGATTGGGGTTTTCCTGATTTATCCTTGTTAACCATATTCATAATAGTTAACACTCCATTACATTCCTCTCCACATACTATAGCTCCTGATGATCTTGACTCAAAGTTATCAGTTTGTAGTCGGCAAACTGTACAAGTCTTTATACAGGAGGTACTTCCTGTTCGTTCCAATCATTCTCTTTTCTCATCACATTTGTCACAAATACCTAAATTATTGATACAATTAATGGGGCTTTCCTTTCTGTTACAATTCGTACATTTGATTTCAGTATATTTTTGTTTCTCTTTTCCTTTATTTTGGATCCTTGGTGGGTTTAACTCCATATCTTGCATTGGATCTTCAGGTTCTGGTATATTAAATTTGGGCTTTTTGTTACCTTCGTCAGTATCTGGTGTAGGTGGTCTTTTGTTATTAACGCTATTCTCATGACATTCATTGCATCTTAATTTTCCTATTTTATAATTACTGTATGCCTCATAGAATATTACAGGTTTCTGGCAGGTGCAACAATGATTGCCTCCTTTAAATTGGGTTTCTGATCTTCGTCTTTTACATCTCCTTCCATCACATTTGCATAGGAAAAACCTATTCCAATAGTATAACTTATCATTGCATACCTCCTTACTATGTCCCCAAGATCCACATCTTTCACATTTAGCTTTATTACAATTATGTGGTGGATGATAGGTTACTGTTGAATGTTTAAAGCATTCCATGGGCTCTTTATGCTTTAGCATATTGCTTATCACAACTTTTAGTTCTCCATACTCTCTATCCAGGCTATAATGGTTGTTTTGACATCTTCCTGTACACCTTTTACATCTTTGACCTAAGTCGGTCTTAATCCTAAAATTCTGAGGATTGGGCATGTTAAGAACTTCCTTAAGTTGTTCAACTGTTGAGTTCATCTTGAATTTGGGTTTTTAAATTTTTGATTTAGATTTTGAGTTTTTGGTTTCTTGGAAAAAAAATTATTAGTTTATTATTAAAACTATGATTTGTATAATCTCATTTTACCATCTTGAATGGTGTCTTTTTATAATAATTTTATTTCCACAGTTGAATGATCATCATCAATTTTACTGGTGCATCTTTAGATGATCTTGGCGTATCTTTTAAATTATTGTTTACATCTTTAAATAAACAAATCCTCCTCATGATAATTTGTTTATATTATCAGAATAATATTAAGATTTGGGTTTTGATTGTTTCTGATTTTCCATCTAAAAATTCTAAAATCTTTTACGCCAAGGAGTGTTTCATCACTAATTTTATTTCCTTAAATGTTCAACAAGATTTGGGCTTTTAATTTGTGCATTACACTAAATTAATTAATCTTAATTATTGTTTATATTTTAATCTTGAAAGTGCGTCAGCATTCCCATTTTTCTTTCCTGGTCTATGTTCTACAAAGAAATCATATTGTTGTAATTTCATTATCCATCTTGCACGCCTTCCTTTTGGAATCTTTTCATTTACTAAGCTTTTAAGGGCTGCATGATCTGTGATTATCTTAAATCTTTTATTTATCAAAAATTTATGGAAATATTCAACTCCATATACTATTGCCAAGCATTCTAAATCTGTTATAGGATAATTTCTTTCGGTTTTATTGGTGCTTCTGCTGGCATATGCTATCACAACTTCCTTATCTTTATCATTTTTCTGAGCCAATATAGCGCCTAATCCATCTGCTGATGCATCTGTTATCAAAATAAATTCTTTTTCAAAATTTGGATGTGACAAAATTGGGCTTTCAGTTAGACATTGTTTTAACCATTCAAAGGTATCTTGTTGTTCATAAATCCATTCATATGGAACATCTTTATCTAATAATTTATATAATAGTTTAGATCTCTTGGAGAAATCTTTAATAAATCTCCTATAATATGAACATAATCCTAAGAATGATCATAATTCTGTTAAAGTTTGGGATTCTTTTATTTTACTAATTGTTTCTACTTTCTTAGAATTGGGTTTTATACCATCTTTACCAATTTCATGACCTAAAAATTCAATTTGTTGTTCACAGAATCTACTCTTCTTTAACTTTACAACAAAATTATGTTCTCTTAATTTATGTAATACTTTAGTCACATGTATAATATGATCTTCAAAATTTTTAGAGTGTATCATTATGTCATCAATGTAAACTTCAACAAAATCTCCAATAAAATCGTATAAAACATTATTCATTAACCTTTGAAAGGTAGCTGGGGCATTTTTAAGTCCAAATGGCATAACATTAAATTCAAATAATCCTAATGAACATACAAAAGCTGTTTTTTCTTTATCATCTTCGTTCATTTCTACTTGATGAAATCCTGCTGCTAAATCCATACTTGTGAACCATTTTGATGTTTCATATCGTTCTAGTAATTCATCAATTCTCGGTAAAAGATATGTGTCTGTTTTAGTAACTTTGTTAAGTGCTCTGTAATCAATACAAAATCTATAGGTACCACTTTTCTTATTTGCTAATGTTACTGGGGATGCCCAAGGACTATATGATGGTCTAATCCTTCCTACTCTCAATATTTTCTCTATTTCTTTCTTTATGAATTTCTTTTTCTCCAAAGTTTTTCTATAACCTTTTTGTAAAATTGGGGTTTGACCTTCATTTATTATTATACGATGTTTAACATTTGGTACTAAATTGGGTTTTTCCTTATCATATTCCATGATATCCATATATTCTATTACTAGTTCTTTTGTTATTCTCTCTTGGTTTTTATTTAAATTTCGTAATTTTAACTTTTCTAGCATCTTTTCTGTCTCTCCCTTTTCTGGGCCAAGACTCATTATTTTACTTCTTCTTCATCTTAGCTGATATACTCTTCTTCTAAATCTTCAACTCTAAAAGTTTCAATTTCTTCATTATCTTCGTATGTGGGGTCTTCTTCATCATCAGTGTATTCATCCTGAATTGGGGTTTCAAATTTAACTCTATTACTTTTGATATATTCAATTGGTATGTATATTTCATGTCCTTGATCATTTAATGTTAAGGTGTGGGTTTTAAAGTCTATATTAGCTTTCCAATCACTCATAAAATCATTGCCAATTATTAACATTCTATCTTGTGAATTAATTACTTCAACTTCAATTTCTGTTATTATTTCATCAATTTCAATTTCTAAGGTTGATTTACCTAATGATGCTGTTTTAGATCCATTTGCCATTATACATCTTACATTACTTGATCTTTCAATTTCATTTCCTGTCTCTATTAATAATCCTTTTGATATAGCACATGTGGCTGCTCCAGTATCTACTATGGCTTTAATTTCAATTCCATTTATAAAAATTGGGGTTTTCATAGCTATTGTTACTTCTTTATTTTCATCATAATATCTTAATTCTTTTTCGTCCGAGTGTAGTCATTGTTGATTTGGCATTCTAGGTATTCTTTGTCTTTGAAATGCTTTCTTGACTTCCATACCATATTTAGGTGCTGCTGCTACTAATTGTGTGAAATTAATGTTGGGTTTCATATTTTCTAAATCGCTTACTATATCATAATCTTGTGCATCAGTTTCGAATCTACTAGGTTTAATTTGAAATTTTCCTTCTCCTTTCCTAACATATGGTCTTCTAACTCTCTCAGTCATCTCTATATCATTGTTTACTGGTTTTCTTTTAATAATTGGATCTCTATCAGGTAATGTTTTATTACCTACCAATGGGTTGTTTCTTACTTGACTCCTAGTTGTCCTTTCTGCTGGATAATATTCGTTATCTTGATAATATAACTCATTTTGGGATTCTTCGTCAAGATAAAAATATTGTTGATAATCGTAATCAAAGTAATAGTATAATCCTGTTTCATCATCATAATGATAATCTTGATTATCATCTTCCATATCAATCACATTATATTGTTGAGTATTTTCTCTACAAAATCTGGCAGTATGTCCTAATTTACCACACTTATAGCAGTTAACTCTGCTCCAATCCATTGGTGGTCTTTGTTGAAATTGGGGCCTATTCACTTGACGTCTTGGTGGTCTAAATTGGGGTTTTTGAGTGTTATTATTATTATTTATCTCATTTTTAATACTTAATATTTCTTTTTCTAATTTAGCAATCTTTAATTCTTCCAACTGTTTGGCTAAATTATCTACTTCACTTGTAATATTATTATCAACTATAACGTTTGGGGTTTTACTTGTTGAGCTTTCATTTATATTTAAATTGGGGATTCCCATTCCTTGTAACATCAAATTATTACCTGCTTCTATACTTTTTGCTCTAGTAATTGCATTAACTAAAGTATCAGAATTCCCTTCAAATGTCCTTCCAGCGACTATAGGATTTAACCCTTGTATAAAATAATTTACTCTAAATCTTTCATGTAAATCACCAGCTTCTGGTGCTACTCTTTTTAATAATTTATTAAATCTCGCCGCATATTCTCCCACTTTCTCTCCATCTTTTTGTTTGATAGATTGTAATTCTCTTGTCCATTGTTGTTGTCTAACAGGACTGGCATATTTACTTTTCATCTCATATGCTAAACTAGTATTATCGTTTGCATTATCAAAACCAGCTAGATTTCCTAAAGCAACTATTCCTTCTAACCAGTCTGCTGCTTCTTCTCTTAAACATGGTTTTGCTCTCACTAATTTTGCTGCTTGATCATCAACATATCTGTTTCCTGCATACACATTATTAAAATCTCTGATCCAATCATTAGCGTCTTGATCCCCTCCATAAAAGAGTGGTAATTCTGCTATTTTTGCAGCTCTATTAAGTGGATTTAACATGCCTGTTAAGGTAGCATTTATTGTATTAGGTGGGGCTGTATTCAAGACTGCTCCTGGATCTATTCCAAAGATAGTTCTCATTACTGTTCTAATATCTTCTCTTACTTCATCTCTGGTAGCCATTATTGGTAGTGGACTATTACTTCTAGTTGAGTTTCCTGAGGTTGGGGTATTTGTTCTTGTATTATGTATACTATTATTTTCTGTTGTATTATTACTTGAGTTTTCTGATTCTTCAGAACTTGAGGGATTTGGTGGGGTTTTTATAACATTTTCATCTTCATCAGACGAAAATTCATCATGTGACTCCTCAATTTGGTGTTCACTTATCCATTTATCCAATATTGTTTTTAACACGTCATTACTTTCTCCTTCATTTTCAATATAGGTCTCTATGAATCCTTTTAAGTATATTTGTGCTGGGTTATACCCTAATGTGAATATTATTCTCATCAAGTCTTCCTTCCCTATTTGTATTCCTCTTTCTTGTAATATTTCGATTATTATGTTATATTCATCATTCTCTTCCTTCAAATTTGGGTTTTCTATCACAATTTCTCCTTTAAATCCATTAGTTGTTAGTAATTGGGTTTCTATAGCATTTGTGAGATAATCATTTTTCCATGGTTGGGGATAATAAGTATCTTCTTTGTGGAATTTTATGCTCTTTTGTAACCTTCTAATCTCATTTCTATTTACTCTAATTTTCTCTCCTAAGTATAATATCTCTCTAAATATTTTTAATGTTTCAATTTGATCGAATAAATCATATGCTGTAGTATCTAAAATTATCCAATTCCAAAATTCTGCAAATCTATGATTTAATTCCCCATCACCTATTATGTAACCATGATTTTGTAGTTCACATATCTCTTGTAAAGTTTCGTAAAGTTGGGTTTTATTATCTACAAAGTAAATATTTCCCTCTTCATTATAATTATAACAGTTTTGTTTAATTTCCCATATAATGTAAATTAAACCATCTAACTTATAGTGGGGTTTTCCTTTATAACTAATTGACCATATAAGATTTGTTGCTTCTCTTGTAATCTCATCTTTATTACTTTCTACTATTTCCCCAAAGGAAATTATTGTTTTAGATGTATAACTATCTTCGTAAATTTGGGTTTCTATTCCACATAAAATTTCCCAGAATTTTAAAAATTCTTTTATTATCTCTTCTTGTATTATTGCTATTGGATAACATTTTCTACACGCGAAATCTAAGACTGGGTTTTCTACACGTGAAGTATGTTTTTGTGTATTATGTAATGTCCTATGTTGTAACCAATGATCATATATATCTGACATCTTATATTTTATAAAATTTTCAGAGTTGGGTTTTATGATATATTTATACTTTTAAATTATTTTGATATCTCTTTTTGGTTTTTAACTCTGTTTTTATCTTAATTATCCTTTTAATTATATTCTTTTTTATGTCCATTAGAGTCTCGTAGTCTCCTCTAATTTTCCTTTCATATCTTCTTAAATCTCTTTCTAGTCTTATTTCTTTCTCAAAATCTTCTTCAGTTGGTTTAAGTTTTCTCCTAATTTCAATTATTTTGTCCTTATAGTAAGATATGGGCCTTCGTAATGATTTTTCCTGATATAAACATTCGTGATATGCCTTTACTAAGAATTCTTTTTGTTGTTTGATATCCATAATTTAATTCGTTAATAAATTGGGATTATAATTTAATTTATCAGATTGGGGTTTTTAAGGTATTTATAGCTTTTTAATGATTTTCAGCCATTTGTTCAACCTGATTCAAACAATATTCTTCATATTCTTTATCAATTTCAATTTGATCATAGCATATGCAATGTATTTCATTACAACATGGATATGGTATTGGTGACATTGCTCTCTCTTCTCTTTCAGAGTCATTATCACTTAAATCCTCGTCACTATCTTTCTCATCCTCTGATTCAGTTGGGGTTTCATTTTTGCTATCCTCATAATCACTATCTAAATCGATTTCATCATATCCTAATTGGGTATTGCATTGTATAATTTTATAAGATATTTCTTCATTAAATTCTCTAACTCTTTTATCTATTTTTCCAAGACTTGATTGATAAGTTTCAATTTCATTTTCCATACACCTTTCTTTAAATTGGTCTATCCTATTCAAAGGTTTGAGCTTTTCTTGTAATTTTAACCATCTTTCCCTAATTCTATCAGCCATCTTATCTAATATTTTTATATCCTCCATTGTCATTCCATACATTTTGATGAGGTAGTTTCGTTGAGCTTTAATCATATCTCTATCCTCATCCTTAAGTACAATTTGATTATGATAGTTTTTAATTGTAGTCATTTTATCTCAAATTATAACGATAATAAATTTTATCAAAATTATTTTTAATATCTCGCAAATAAGGATGATATATACTGCAAATGAGTATCTTGATATTATTATTTTTGTTAATAAGAGTATTTCTTCAATCATTTGAATGATCTTTTGGCTGGTAATTTTGGCACTCCTTTTATAGACAATTCGGATATTTTATCGGGTATTCTACTAAAATTTTTAGATAGCTTCCGCCATCTTTTCTCTTCTTAAAAGGTGGGTTTTATATCTCAGTTTCTTTGGTTTTTAAAGGTGGGCTTTATCTACGAATTTGGGTTTAAAACTTGGGTTTATTTACGTTTTATTGTACTTAGAAGTGGGTTTTCAACTCATAAATTGGGATTTTTATATGGGGTTTTACCATTCTTTTAGGTTTAATACATCATTTTGGGCTTTAGAATTGGTCTTTAATCATTAATTAACGCTGAGTTTAATATAGGGGTTTTAAATTGGGGTTTTTATTTTCATTTACTACTCAATTTTGGGGCTTAAAAATTGGATTTTATCACTTTCTTCATTAAATTTGGGTTTTTACGAAATAACTCTTTATTTCTCTATCCCTTTAACATATTCCAACTCATACTTACTCATAATTCAATCTATTTACACATTTTTGTAGGTTCAGTTACGCATCTCCAGGATGCTTTCAGTAAGGAGAAGTTACACTCTCGTCAGAGTCCAGTTATTCCCATTCCTATCTGAAGAGTTATACCTGCAAAAATAAAATCTAAATTATTAAAATAGATAACAATACTTAACCATACGATACAGAGGCCTTGTCGAATATAACGCTTTATTCGCAGTTTCTTAGATTCCTAGTCGCTAATACATGTATGAAGACATGTCTAAAAATTTAAGTCTGGGTAATACTCTGTAAAGGGTTGGAGTGAGTTCTTTTCTTCTTTCTTCTTTTCACTGTCAAATAATTCCTAGGACCACTATTTGGGTTTTCTCCTTGGTTCTAATAAATTTCCATTCCTTCCAAAAGGGTATTTACTATATGCCGATAGTAAAAGGCTATTTATTAGGTATTATTCAACAAGTTTTTCTATTGTATGTAGACAATAGAAGGTGATTCTCAGAGCATGCACCATTTGCAACGACAGCTTCTGCCACTCTGTCGCCACAAGAATTTCATCTCTCTCATAAAGTCATAAAATTTATAATTTAATAAAAGGTTTATTCTTTATTATGTAAGAATATGTCATTATAACACAGTTATTTATTAAATGTAAAATAATATAATCATAAAATTTCGTCAGAACATTATAAAATAATTATAATAATTAAAATGATAGTTTTTATTTAAAAGAATTAAAAGAATTTAAAAGGAACTAAAAGAAACAGAAAGGAACTTCCAAAGAAAAGGAACTGCTAATACTAAGTCAAAAAGTTGGGGTTTATATAATAATTTACATGTTGATCCTTCGATCAACGTAAATAATAATAAATTAATTGTAACTTATTACATCATTATTACTATTAGGATGATCTTCATTTCCGATCCAAATTACTTCAGACTATTAATGTATGTTACACAAAATATAGATGATCCCTATAATTCCGAAATACTCTATTATTTAAATCAAAGTTAATTCTGGAATTATGGCACTACAATATGACAGATAAATATCAAACACGGACAGATGAAAATCAATGAACAGGTAAAATGTCAGACATAATGTAACATTTTGTCTAATATCCATGCCTGATAGTTTAGTCTAACTTGGCTTGCCAAATTGTGCAACATTTAAATATTGTTGCATCAATCATCATCATGATACTGGCATGAATATTGATTTATTTTAATGTAAATATTTATTTTATTTAACTTATAATCAACGTGTACATTATGCATTTAAAAACAATAAATTCAGTTCAAAATTACTTGATACAATATCAACTTTTAAAGTTGATAAAAGGTTTTAAAGTTCATAGCAGAAACTTATAATTTTAAGACAACGCTTTCACTATAATGTAACATCATGGTTGTAATAACGTGACAATGCATTATACATTAGCGCAAAGTTACAATACAATCATAATGCTATGACAGTAAAAAAAAACTCTTTCCCCTTTTTTTATTTTTGTTAATTTTCCGTAGTAAATAGCGCAGCTTTCTTTTGAATTTTTACATTTAAATATACTTCAAAGGGGAAGAGGCCCTATAGGGCGCTTCGGGCATAAGACGAGGTTTTATTGTTCTCACTTTACCCATATTCAAGGGTTGGTTATGTCTTATATTCCATGAGCAGACGACTTTGTTCCTATACCCGGATATAATTATACACCGCCTGGTCCTGAAGACTTCATTTTTAACCATAATACTACAAATTCCTTACCACCCACTGAAGACAATTTGTCAAATATATCTTCACCCTCTGAATATTTTGAGGATACTCATCCCACCCTTTCGTTTAATAATAATAAAAACTATATTTTCTCTATGAAATATGAAAAATTTCATGTGATCCCATACCATAGAACTGGTTATAACAAGATTTACAACTTTTGGCATTCAAAAAGTTTCTTTTTTGAGCTTGTTGATCATCTATCAAACACCAATCAACTTCAATTAAAGATCTACACCAATGATTATCATATGTCCTCTAACCCGATTAATCATAACTCCACGAGTCAACTTCTGAATTTCAAATTTCAAATATTGAAACAGCTCACACACTTTTTTTCAACGCAAAAAGTTATTCCTCGACGGTTACAAAACAAATTTTTCATGCTTATTCGTAAAAAATTATTGGAGCGTTTAGATTTCATAGTATTACGTGCCCAAAAAAAAGATGAAAATAATCACATGACTAAAACTTTTTTTAATTTCTCATATAAGAAATATAGATTTTATTTTGGTATCTACCTCCCATGTAATTATTGTCATACTGTGGATCCAATTAGCAAAACTGTAACGGCCTGCCTCATTCCAGCTCCTTTCACTATGTCTTTTCATTGTCACGCCTGTATTACTTATCACAAAAAATTAACGCTATACTTTACTTCGAAGGATAACAAAATACCTGATGTCAGCAACTGCAAAACTTTCAAAGATTTTCACGCAACTCGCCTCTACAACCGATGGGCCAAGAAGAGGATACATAATAATTTTTCAAACCGATTAGGCATCTCTTTCACCACAACATACTGTGCTTTTTATAGCAATGTCGTAAAAAAAAAGGACTCAATTTTATTTACGGCAAAGTTTATCGGAATTTTCAACGCACTCCTAGTTCGTCCTCAAAAGTCAGAAAAAGACAAGAGAAATGCTTTGATGCATCGATTAGGCATACTTTTCGTAATGCTAATTTACGCACTAATGCTCTGTTGGATGATAAGCTCCGTGCTGCACAACGTCATATGCTTCTGTTTCAAGAAACTCAATCGTTCACCAAACCTCTCACACATCTGTGCTATAAGAAAAAATTCATCTCACCTTTACAACAAGATTATTCTTTTCCGCTTTCGTTTCCTGGAACAAATCGCGTTTCTGCAGTCATTGCTACGGAACTATATAGTAACGATAGCTCCATCGCATCTCCGACCATTGTTGATCCTAATCCACCTGTTGTCATAGACAACCTTGAAAACGTGCCTAAACACTACATTCCGTTAATTCCGGATGAACCTTTCTACGAAGGTGGCTTATATAATCAACCTTCTCATAGAAACATTAGGAAACGCAACTTGAAACTACTTACGGTTGGCAGTAATGCTTGGTTAGCCCACATGAAAGAGATTTATGATATCCATATAGAAAATACGCAATATGAACAGGCAAAAATCGACGCTGGAAGTCAATAGGATACTACTCCTGAAAAAGGTATCTACCGAAGAGATCTTTGTGATATGATAATGGAGTATACCACCGCCCGTCATGATTATGAAATGAAATTATTCGAAGTCTCATCTGAAGCGCAGACTGTGCCCATATTACTGAAGAAAAGCGAACAACGCAAAAGAGAAAAAGAACTACAAAAGAGAAAAGCAGAAGACATCTTAGAACATTTACGTGATCATGTCGATACTATTGATCATGCGATATATACTGAATACTACAGAGACGAAGTTGGCTTAAAATTTCAGCCTTGTGCGGTCATGGATAACAGAACACTTAAACGACGTGCCGATGATAATGGCAATTCACAGGTCGAACAGATGTCATTGTCGCAAAATTTGCCTGAAATTTTTCTGGCAAATTGAGAATTATCCCGGTAAATTGGGGTAAATTGTGTTACAATTTTGGGATAATGGAGGTCTTACAATTTGGCAAATTTTGTCAAAATGGCGGAATTCCTACAGAATTCCTAATTCAAATGTTGAGAAATTTTTCAGTAAATTATCATTAAATTATGGGAAATTTTAGGCAAATCTTTAGTAATGATATGCAAACGAAGTGCAAATTGTGGTGAATTTAGTTAAATTTTTAGTAATGTTATGTAAACGTAATGCAAATTGTGGTAAATTATAGTGAATTTTAGTAATTTTATGCAAAAGTAATGCAAATTGTGGTAAATTGTAGTGTATTTTTAGTAATGTTATATAAATTGTTGAAAATTTAGGTGAATTTTTCAGCAATGTTGTACAAACGTAATACAAATTGTGGTAAATTTTGCATTTTTTTGGTAAATGTTAGCTAAACTTTTGATAATTTAGTGAAATTTAGGATAATTTCGGATAATTGAGTGAAAATGTTTTACCGATTTTGGACAATTGAGAAATTTAGTAATAATTTTAAACAATTTAGTGTAAACTCCATGACAATTTAAAACACTGTTTTAATAATTTCACATAATTTATTATAATTTTATTTATTAATAAATGTACAATTATTATTATTTAACGATAATCTATGGATAATCTGCACCTCTAATTCATTCATGTATCAAATGTCCAGTGCCAAAGTAGAAGCCGGTGTAAACCTAAAAAAAAAAGAAAAAAATGAAGCGTTAATAAACGTTTCGTTGAAAAAAATCAAAATAAAGAAACATTTCGAAGTATATACCTTCGAAATGTTAAATTCCATACGTTCAAAGACCGTTAAACCTAAAAAATAAAAAAACGAAATATTAATATACGTTTCATTAAAAAAAATCAAATAAAAAAAATATTTCAAAGTATACCTTCGAAATATTGAATTCCGGTTTGTCCAATGAGCCGCCAAACCTAAAAAATATAAAAAAAATGAAACATTAATATACGTTTTGTTGAAAAAAATCAAAATAAAAAACAAATATTTCGAAGTATACCTTCGAAATGTTCCTTTCGTTTTCACTGTTCCCTTTCGTTTCCCCCATTCGTTTTCACCTTTCCCGTTCATTTTCACCTTCCCCTTTCGTTTTTCCTTTTCCCTTTTCGTTTTTTCCTTTTATTTTCGTTTCCTCTTCCCCTTGTGTTTACTCTTTCCTTTTCGTTTTACCCTTTTCCCCTTTCGTTTCATCCATTCCTTTACGTTTTACCCTTTCCTTTTCGTTTTATCCTTTCCCTTAAAGTAAAATGAAAAAGAAACAAAAATTTAATAAATTAGATAAAGGAGAGAGGGAACTCTTCCTGACGATCTTTCGGACTAAAATTTTACGAAAGAAAAATTTTAACTTTATTAACAAAATATATAATAAAAATACATATTTTAACAACAAAAATGGAAGAAGAAACTCTTAAACAATATCTAAACGAGTACTATAGAGGCTTTACAGGTTTCGAGTTGGAACATATAGAAGATTTTTCAAAAAGTTTAAAAGAATATAAAAAATTTAACTTAGAAGAATACAAAATTTTACATTTGGATAAAGATATGTTATATCCGCCAGGCGACATAAAAATAGGAGTCAGAGATGCAAGAATAACAAAAGAAAGGAACATATACAAAGATATTTTAATGGACACCGCAGTCTTCACAATGAAAATGGGTGGCGAAAACGTTAAAAGAATCTTGGAAACAATTCTCCTAGAAAACTCTCAAGCAAGCACGACAACGCAGGACGGAGCAATAGCAGATATAGAAAAAGGAGCGACAACGAACACAGAAAAAGGAGCAATAACGAATAAAGATATAGATGAAACAAATTTTTTAAGACACTATTTATTACTTTTTTATAAGGACTTTAAAGGATTTGAAGAACATCATTTAGACGATTTTTCAGATGCTATGAGAAAGAATAGTAGAGTCAATTTAGCAGAATACGAATTAGAATACATGGAAAGAGATATAATATTCCCACCAGGAATAATGGGAGAAGGCATTATAAATGGAAAAAGACAAACGGGTAACAATATTATTAAAGACACTTTAATGGATTTCGCTACTTTTACAATGAAAATGGCTGGCGATACCACCAAAAAAATTCTGCAAATAGTATTCGAAACCCTTCAGAAACGATCCGCAGAAAAAAATGCCGCAGTAGAAGAATTACAAAAAACCAAGAACGAATTAGATTCTATGAGGGCCAAATACAACGAATACAAAGAAAAGATAGACAATTTAGAAAAGGAAAAAAAGATGGCAGAAGAACGAATAAAAAAACTAGAAAATGACGTGCTAAAATTGAGCAATTCAGAGAAGAAAACAGTAACGAGCGAGATTGCCACATCCAGTAAGCCGAAAAGTAAGACAAAAAGCCACGATCGACGTAGAAAATCAAAAAAAAGAAATCATCCACACAAGAAATTAAAAAGGGGAAGATCACCGAAATTTCGGTTCAAACAACTTCCGATGATGATTTTCTGAAAAAACATTTTTCCGATAGATCACGTGACTTAAAATTTTATGATTTTCCAGCTTATTGGAAGGATAATGAAATCTATGACTCGCTAAAACAAATAGGATATATAGAAAGATTAGAATGTAAATGGAATTACAAATATAGGACTGTTCGAGCTAGAATTCGCTTCACAACAGAAATGGAGGAAATCTTCATCAAAGGTGGACCTAATATAGCGATCAAGAAAAAAGAGCAGACTTATTTTTTTAGGATGTTTAACGCGAAAATGAGTACTACTGAAATTAAGAAAAAATATGAATGGCAAGCATACAAAAAATTCAAAGATTTACCAGGGAGACCAGAACATGAGGGATTAAAAGCAGAAAACTTAAAATACGGTGGCCTTTTTTCAAAAATTATCAAAATAAACAAAATTAAATACATTTTGATATATTTTAACAATGAAAAGGATTTAATGAAAGCAATTTACAATTCGACGATGGAAGAAGAAAACATGGAAAACGGTTTGTAGATCAAAAGTCAAGATGAATTGATCACTGAAAATGGAACATACAAAAAACGTTTCGGCATTAACAAATTCAATATCCCACAAAAACCAAAGGACGGATTTGTTGACGCAACTACTGACTTAATCTCAACGGTTCCAAGAACTTCGGAAGAACACGACGAGTTAGATAATTTAAATAATAAATTTAAAGAAAGATTAGACGAATTAAAGATGACAACAGACACGACACAAAGAAAGGGGAAAAAGAAAGTAACAGAGTTATCGGACGATGATGATGAAGAAATGAAAAATGAAAACAAAAAGCGAGTAGTGCGAAAGCAGGGAGAAAGGGAAAATTCTGATACAGAATGAACAAATTATCCCCAAAATTCTTAACAATTTTGAAAATTTATTCTAGAAGAGCAATACTGGAATTTGATCGATTTTCACCTTCTTAATAACAGAGAATGTTACAAGAGTAATTTTGATATTTTCCGCGGTAGTATAGTTTTTCTTTTTAATTTACAAGACAGAATTTTATTATACTTTAATTTTTTTTTTTTCGCTTTTAATGTATTTTAAATCATTTAGTTTTTACTTGATATTTCTTCACAATTATTTTGTTTGATTTTAAAATAGTAAAGCCTCAAAACATATAAAAATAGCAAAAATTCAAAAACATCATAAAATACGAGAACAGTAGCGTAGTTTGAAACAATATAAATATAGAATCGAACACAAATTTTTTAGTTTAGATTTTATATTAGTTTTTTTTTAGATAGTTAAAACTTAGTTATAGGGTTTGTCATTTTATGTCAAGCTCTAAGTATTTTAAAATAATTATAAAAATTTTCTGTAAATTTTAAATAATTAATAAAATGCGTTACTATTAAAAAAAAAAAAAAAAAAAAAAAAAAAA